GGGGGGCTGTGCCCCTCATTTCCTCGCTCCCCACCACCAGCCTTGTTGGGGACCTTGGGGTCCCCGCTGTCCAGAGCCATATTTTGTAAGCTGGTGCCTCCCCCCCCTCCTCCCGGCACGTGTTGGTTATTTATTACCCCAGTGTTCCTTCCTTGACTTTTTTGTTTTTCAATAAACTCTTCTTGTATTTATTAGGAGCTCCTTCGTGTCCCCTGCACAGGGAGTGGTCCGGGGGGGCTCTGTGTTCCCTGTAATCCCTGCCCCCCATCCCACAGCAGATAGAGGTGGTTAATTCACTGCTCGGCGACACTGCATGGTGCCAGGGTTATTGTGGGGACCGTCGGGGCACCAGGAGAGAGCAGGTGAGGGGGGCAGGGTGATGGTGGTGGCACTGGGGTGGTGACACGGCGCTGGTGGCGTGTCGACATGACAGTCCTGGCAGCGGGATGAACCCAGCGCCGTTCTGATGCCGAGCGCCAGCACTTCCATTGGCCTCACTGTCAGCCACGATTGGATCCGCACCCACTGCCCCTGGTGCGCGCTGCCAGCCCACGCTGGTGCCCGATGCTGCCCCACTGTGGCAGCTGCTGTCCTGAGCTGGTCTCACCCCGTATCAGTGCCTCTATCATCTCTTACTGGTGGCCGACAGCCGCTATCGGTGTCCGGTCCCGGTGCCCGGTGCCTCCCCGCCCCGCCGCCCACGGCAGCCCGTCCCGCAGCCCGTCTCTCTGCCGCCGCCGCGCGGTTCTCCCTGCAACCTCCTCCATCCCCGCTTCTCCTCTCGGCCCTGACGTCAGAAGGACAAAACGGAGACAAAAGCGCTTTTCTCGGCCTTTATTCAAAGCCCAGTGGGTTTTGCCCTCCCCGGCTCCTCCTCCTTCCGAGGGCGCGGGCGTTCGGTGGGGCTTTGGATTTGGCACCTCTCAGGACGGCGGCCATCCACCCCCACGGAATTCACGGCTTGGACCCAACTGCCTCGAAATCGGCTTCAATGAATGAGGTGAAATACGGTCAGTCGATTTTACCACGCGGCCTCGCGGCGCTGGAGGAGCATTGAGACGGACGGGGGAGGGCTGGGAAATCAGACGGCAGGCGTTGGTCCCAGCAAAGCGCGGTTCGGAGCCCGCCGTTCTGCTCTCCCTTCTTGCAGCGATGTCATCACGGGTGAGGGGACAAATCCCCCTTGGTTCCCTGCTGCCGGGTCTCCAGGTGCTCCAAGTCCCCTTCGTGGATCCCCTCCACCTTTTCTCAGCCCCAAGCCGCCCCCCTGCACCCGATGCTGAGCGATTCCAGCTCCGGGTGCTGCACCCCTTCTGTTCTGCTCCCAGCACAGGGCTGAGAAGCCCTTCTGACCCCCCCTGCCGGAAGCCACCGCCACCACCGCCGCCGCCCTGGGTTCAAACTGCAGCAGGATAAGAGAGGAGACGCCAAGGTTTTATTGAGTAGAAAAGTATTTGGGGCGCAGCCTCGGCCTCCCGCCATCAGAGAAACGCTGCACGAAAAGCCTGGGCACCTCAGTTCTTTCATAGATGTATATTTACCATTCACAAAGACTGCAGGAATACGATTAATGAACAATAAATTAGGACTTCATGTTGCTATCGTTTGGCATAACACAATCAGGCAAGTTTTCTTCCTTCCGAAACAGGAGGCGACACAAACCGACGCATCGTCGGATCCACCTGCAGGCAAATTGATGAACCTTGCTAACGAGCCATTGCTGGAGAGCGGCACACTGAGACCTGAAGGGAGGACAGAAGTGCACCAAGGCCGTGCGAGGAGCTGGGAAAAGCACCCTGCTCAAGCCCTGAGCCCCGAAGATTCCTTACAGCCCAGGGCCACACGTCGAAATGGAAACAAAATAATACAAATCGATGGGTTTGTGACCTCCAGCCAACTCCGACGCCACTTCAGAGCTGGCGAAGGCCTGCTGTGGTTCATTTGCTCTCAGTGCCATCGGATGCCCGTCAGGATCCCACACCGTGCTCATGGAGGAGGAGGTTCTTAAGGCTTCGTTTCCCCGGGGCTGGGAGGGAGGCTCACCCACACACAACGCTACTCGGACCCACGCTACTGGGCGACATTCATACAGAAACATTACACTTACAGCTTACAGTGTAGAGCAGGAGTTTCCTTTTTTTCTTCTTTTTTTTCTTCTTCTTTTTTTTTCTTTTTCTTTTCAGCCAGTGTACAGAGAAAGAATTGATGCGTTTCGCTTTTCGCCTGTTTTTAATTTCCAAACTTGGTGGTGATCATTATGTTCAAGTATGAGTTAAGGGAGAGGTTTTCTGCTTACAACAGATTTGGCTCTAGGAAGGGATAGGGATGCTGGGAAGCAGAGGTTTGTGGTTAGTGTCACAGCAGGGAGGGAGGGAGGGGGAGGCACCGAGACCCTGGGAAAGGAGCATTAGAGCTGCTCAGCCCCGGAGAGAAGCGGCCTAGCGAACGTGCTGCCCCGATGGAGGGAGCGGGGCTCCAGGTCCCACCACCTCCTGCTCCCTTGGCTGCTGGACCCAGCCGTGAGCAGGGCTGGGATCCCTAAGGAAAGCCCTTCCCTGTGGGCAAGCAGGCCTGAGAGCGGCGAGGGGCTCAGAGCCGGTGACCGAAGGGCAGGGAGGCAGCACCTGGGGCGGCCTGTCCTGTCCTGCTGACTTCACATTGAGCCTCAGCAACGGCCAAAAAGCTTCAAAACTAGTGTCTCAAAGCCTCAACCCCCCCTGAGCTCGCTCTGTGCGTGCTTCTCTCCCACGGAACAGGCCTCTGGATGCTGAGAACGGTCAGCGTTTGATGCATTAACGAAGCGGGGCTTTCGAGCTGAAAAGCCCTGCTTCCTGACAAATCCTGCTGCTCTTTGGAGGAAACTGAGGTGGAAAAGCAGCTATGCTACCTCAATGGCCAACAGATGCAGCTGTGAAACCCTGCAGCAACTCACCATGGGTCCGGCACGCGGGTACTGAGCAGGAGCTGCAGCATGGGGACTCTGTGGTGAGGAACAGCGGCGGCGTGGAGTAGTGTAATGAAATTCTTGGAAACAAAAGGCATGTTAAATATTTGATGCATAAAGGAGAGAGAGAAAACACGTAAGCAAAGCTTTTAAATATACAGTATGTCTTCTTCCAACGGTTACTATAATGATCACGCAAGTTTGCAAGTTAAAAATGCCTTGCTTCTTCGTTAAAATTAAGACTAAACCTCTAATTTTGTCTGTGAAAGTGACTGCAGCCTATCTATACCCTGGGTGCTGAATATGAAGATTTCGACTATCGCTCGGTTCAGGTGCTCGGTTCATGGGAGGCCGATGGACTTTTCCCAGCACGGCCATGCTCTGATCTCTGAAGCAAGGCTGCTGGAAGTCCCCACTTAGGTAATCCACGGTCTGCATCACGTTGTTCTGGCTGGACGGGCCGGCCCCAGCTCTGTAATGAGGTCCTGCTGCACAGTCGAGCGCTGCTCCGGCCGGCGGTCCCCCGTGGAAAGGCATGGCGAGGTCCTGGGAGCCAGAGCTGTCGCTGTTGGGGGTGGGCAGAATGTTATTCCACATGGGCTGGAAGTAGTGCCCGTTGGTGTACGGCAAGGGTCCCTGCAGGCCGTTGACGGGAGGGGAGGGCGTGGGCTTCTCAATGGGGGGCTTCAGGCCGAAGGACTGGCCCATGCACAGTTCTTGAGGGTAGCTGGAGGCTTTGCCAGGGAAACCCTGCCCCGCCATCTCTCTCGGAGCGTGCTTCCCCGCCAGCGCGGCGGGCCCGGCGGCGTCCCCACACATTTGCTGCAGATGAGCGAGCTGGTGCTGGTTCCACGCCACCGACTTGATTTCGTTCTGGTAGGCGGGAGGCACCCTGTTGATATTCACCATGGGCACGTTAACGGAGGCAGAAGGGATAGCAGCAGCGGCGTGATCGACAGGGTTCACTACACAGGAAGGCATGGGCGTAGGGACGTTGTGAGTAGAGACCCTGGTACTTGCATTGATAAGCAGGTTGCGACTTATGGGGCTGGGGTTTGCGATCTGTCCCTCACACACTGAGGTAGTGCTAATGCCAGCTCTGGCCTGGCAGAACTGGTTAATCTGGTGCACGATGCTGCTCAGGTCCGGTGGCTGGTTCTGCTGCAGGGTGGCAGCCATAGAGAGGGGAATGGTTGAGGTAGACACGGTCACATTCGGCGGCGCGTCCGCATCCGGCATCTTTCTGCTCCCATGTAAAGCCGGCTGCAGCAAAGGGTTCGGGGGGGGCTGCAGCGCCTGGTGTGCCACGGTCTGAGGATGCTGCAAGCCCTGAGGCTGCGGCACGTTCTGAGGGTGCGGCAGCGCCTGCGGAATCCCCTGAGGGTGGGCTAAGCTTTGCGGCTGCGGAATACCCTGAGGGTGCTGCAAAGCCTGCGGCTGCGGGATGCTCTGGGGGTGCGGCAAAGTCTGTGCGTGCTGGAGAGCCTGCTGGCGAGCAAGCGCCTGGGGGTGGGTTAAAGTGCTCGGTGCAACGTACGGCGTGGAAGGGGGGTTCATCATCGCCTCCGGCAGCAGGCGTGTGCGCGTGCCGTCAAAGTCCTTGAGGATTCCTTTCGCTGGAGACTTGACGATGGCCAGGAGGCCGGTTTTCGTGGTGGCCTGAGATGGGTAAGGGCTGTACCTCTGGCCCGAAGTGTCGAGTCCGTTCACAGTACGGCGTATGTGTTTGCGTTGCGGAACCTTGACGCTGTTTGGAAAAATTTTGATAGTCAGGGGGTTGTTGGCGACCTTCTTAGCATAGGCATCCAATTCTGCTGGGGTAGGATACTGTGCAGATCTCATTTTCTGTGTAGTGTCCCCTGCGGAGAAAGGAAAGAGGTCAATGCCCAATGTGGGGAGCACGGGACCAAGCCCGGGGCGCAATGGCCACGCAGCGAGGGGAGAAACGCTGTGCGG